TTCAACCCATATAATGACCTTTGCAATTTTATTGAATACATGTTTCTTTTATTTGCTTCTGACACTTTGAATCCTTCAGGGATTTTTATATATATATCAGTATCTAGTGTACCATATAAATACGTAGTGACAATGTCCATGAGATGCATATCAAGTCCTTTTGAGACTGATAAACCAATCAAGTATCGAAATGTGATCATATCCATCACTAGTGAACACATCTCATCAAAGTCAATCTCAGGTCTCTGTAGGAAACCTTGAGCCACTAGTTTGGCCTTATACCTAGCAATCTCATTTTTCTCAATTTGTTTCCTTGTGAATACCCATTTGTATCTTATGGGTTTCACGTTTTCAGGCGTTTGGACTACAAGTCCAAATACATTGTGTTTTGCTAGAGAGGTTAATTATGCTTGAATTGCCTCTTCCCATTTTGGCCAACCATGTCTTTTTCAACATTCATCAACAGAACATGGCTCAAACTCATCATTCACTGCGTATGAGAATATGTTATTGACAATAGTTGTTTCACGATTCCACACTTCTTTACTATGAGCATAGTTTATAGAAATTTCTTCATTTCTATATTCTTGCATTCATTCACAAGGGCTTGTGTCCTTTCAGGGACTATTAACTCTTTTGGAGTTAGTTTAGAAGATGTGCAATTATCTATTATTCTAGTATGGTCAATATTGGCACCTATTTGGTTTTGTGCCTTTCATTTCTGAGGAATAGTATCCTTGTCTCCAAACGGCCTGCCACACTTCTGAAGTGTAATGGATGAATCAATCACTGCCTATATCGATTATTCATTGGAAACATAAATCTTTTCTAGTGTATTGATAGTAGCAATGTATGATCTCATTATTTTTGCTACATCTGTAAATGCATCAGGCGTTTGGTTGACAGTATTTTGCAAATGTGTTCTTCTTTGCACTTTAATTTCATATTGAGATGTGCGAGGATCTAAATGGGACATATAATTTACTTTCCAAGAAATTTCAGCCCTTACTTCAAGAGGCTTAGAAAATATTGTCTCATCAAAATGGCAATCCACAAAACGTGAGATAAATAGATCACCCATCAGGGGCTCAAGATATCTAATGATGGATGGTTAGTCATAGCCAATATATATTCCCAAACGACATTGAGGTCCCATTTTGGTGCGTTGAGGGGGTGCAATTGAAACTTGCATAATACAACTAAAAGTTCTTAAATGGGATATATCAGGCTGGTGTTCAAATACAAGCTATATTGGAGAGTATTGATGATATGCAGTGGGTCTTAGGCGAATTAACACCGCCGCATGTAAAACAACATAAACCTAGGCAAAAGTCAGTAATTTTGTATGTAATAGTAAAGTTCTTGCAATTAATTGGATACGCTTTATAAATGACTCTACCATAGCATTTTGGGTATGTACATGTGGTAAGAGGTGCTCAACGTCAATTCCCATTGATGTACAATAGTCATCAAATGTCTCTGAGATAAACTCACCAGCATTGTCCAAATGGATTGCTTTAATTGGGTAATTTGGAAAGTGTGTCCGTAATCTGATAATTTGTGCCAACAATTTAGGGAAGGCAACATTATGAGTTGACAGTAGATAAACATGTGACCATTGTGTCGATGCGTCAATTGGTACCACAAAGTAGCAGAAAGGTCCCCTTGGTGGATGAATTGGTCCACATTTGTCCTCATGGATTCTTTGTAAAAATGATGGGGGTTCAAGACATTTTTAGTGATGGATGGCTTAAGTGCCAATTTGCCTTGTGAGCAAGCAATACAAGCACTCTCATTAGGTGACAATCTTTAGGTTCTTTAATGAGTGCCCATGTGAGTTTTCTATGATTGTACGCATCATAGTGGATCCTGGGTGACTAAGACAGTCGTGCCAAATCTTAAAAGTTCAAGATCAGTGAACTTTCGGTTCATAACTGCATAGACTTTACCATTCATGAATATGTAATATGACCCTGATGAGAAAGCAGGGAGTTTCTCCAGTACATGCTTCTAGTATGAAATATTAGCAATGATGCATAGGAACTCTCTAACCTTTTCACTTAAAGTTTCAATATGGTATCCATTGAGTTGTATATCTTTGAAACTAAGAAATTTCTTCTGGATTTGCTATAATATAAAGCATGATAGATACTTAATTTAGTTTTGCTTGGTAAACAAGAGTGTTGCTCTTCCAAAGCCCTCGATTATGTTTGCCGACACTAATATGGTATTTACTTTAGCTTCAGTAAATGTCAAATCTGAAAAATATTTTCTGTCCTGCAGGATGGTCATCGTTGCACTATCTACTATACAAACATCTCCCTATGATTATTGGATATCGATGCTTCATTTTTTAAGTTCATCCTTAAAGAAAAAGAAAATTTTTACATTAGTGAGGATGTTTACATAACTTGAAGAGGCACAAACAAGACAAAAGTATTCATTACAAAAATACATAGTTTTGAAAACATAACAAATGTTACATAAATCTTGGAAATCATAAGCATTTTCATAACTGCTCTAATATTTTGTATCAACATCCCCAAAAAAATATGAGACATTGAGACCAGTCGGATCAGAATTATCAATATGATTTGTCTTAGGGGCATCGGTCTGATTTGTCTCAATCTTTTTGTTTTTAATCGATGCTTGATACAATTCCACCAAGTGCTTTGGCGTATGGCAAGTACGCGACCAGTGGCCCTTTCCTCCACATATAGCACTTGTTTTCATTATCCTTATTCTAAGAATGGTTTCTTTTTTCATTTTTTGATTCAGTCCTTTTCCACTTCTGGTGGTTCGACTGAAACCTCTTGTTATGACCACCACTAGGTTGATAATTGTTTCGCCCATGGTGTGGTCCATGATTATTATTGCTAGTCATTGTGTTCACTTCCAGGAATGGTTGGGAACCAATTGGGTGAGTCTAGTGGTTTCTTAGTAACATAGTAACAGTTCATTGTTTTGCTCAGCAACAAGAAAACAAGAAATTAATTCCGAATATTTCTTAAGTTACTCTCCCTATATTGTTGTTGCAGGTGCATATTGGAGGGGTGGAACATGTTTTCCAACATGTCTTCTTCAGATATTTTCTCTCCACATAATCTTAATTTAGAGACAATGCTAAATAAAGCAAAATTATATTCACTGACAGATTTATAATCTTGTAAATGCAAATTGGTCCAGTCATATTAAGCCATTGGAAGTATTACTGATTTGATATGTTCAAATCTCTCCTTCAAGTTAATCCATAATTTCAATGGATCTTTTATATCCTTATACTCAGCCCATCGTCCTTCTTGGATATGATGCTGAAGGAAGATATTAGGGACTTTGTGTTTCCTTCCTTAATCACTTCCCCCAGTTTCATAGATTCTAGATGGAGAGTAGTGTCTAGGGCCCATTCATCATAATTTTTCCATCTAGTCTTAGAGCTTCATAATGGAGCTTCACAAGGTTTGACATTTTTGAGAACTATTCATTAATAATAGTAATATAATTAGTTTCGTATCTTCTGGATGCATGTCTTGAGATGCATTTAGGCACCCAAAAACTAACAAATCAAATATAAAATGCGATAATTGTAAAGAATTGATAAATGACAATTATAAATACATCCGTCCATGAAGGTGGCATCCAACAATAGTAAATAGATTCAACCATGAAAACGGTATTTTAACAATAACAAATGGATCTGATCATAGAGGCGGAGTTTAACAATAATATATAAATATAACTATAAAGGCGGAATTTAATAGTAATAAGTAGATCTAACCATAAAGGCAGAATTTAATAATAATAAATAAATCCGACCACACAGGCAGAATTTAACAGTAATAAATAAATCCAGCCATAAAGATGGAAATAGGGATAAGTAACACTTGTATGGTTGAAAATACTTACTTTCAGTAGGCATGCACCGTTACACTTGTTAAGCTCTTCATGTTGATAACGTGTTATAATTTAGTAGTACTATTTAGTAATGATTCAGGAAAGATAAAGTTAAAAAAAAAGGATAAAAGGGATGATATTGAGAGAATTGAGAGTTACGAGTAGTATGGTTTTCTTTCTCAAAACTTTTGGATGTATAAGATGTAAGGGTTGTGGTGGTATTTATAGCCTATCCCACCCCCCACTTAAACCGCCATAAGGTTTCCTCCACCACTGGGTAAATGGTGGAGGCTATAATATAATCTTAATTATTATTAAATACAACACATTTCTTCTATTTTTCAGCAGGCCTATATGCCCTTGTTTAAAAAGTGAAAATTGTTAACATCTTACAACATTTTTAGACATAATTTGTTAACCCATAATTTTATTTAGAAAACATGTATCATCGCTTTGTATATTTTGCATTAATAAATGAATAGATAATAGTTAGAAATCAATATCAGTTAGAAATATCTGCATATACAAACAACTTTACTAATCTTAATTCCCAAAATATAAAGGTTTTGTTTAAAAGATAGATTTAGGCATAAAATCATATGACTTAGCTTATTTGTCCTTAATGAAAAATTACAATGACAAAAATAGTCGAAATGCATTATATCCTCAAGTCTAGCACTATCTAGCATAGTCTAACATACTTTAATTATGCTATCAAGCCATATTATTAAATGTTATATTCCATCTAGACTATCAAGTCTAGCATATCTAATGAAATATATAAGTACTATAACATTTATTGTTTCATTTAAGGGTACACTTAGTAAATCATTAGATTTTATAATTGAATTTGTACATTTTGGGAAAGTGTAATTATTGAGTTAGTCATGTACCCTATCAGTTACTATTTTGTACCTTTTTTTATTTTTTATTTTTTTTTACACAAATAAATTAGAGATAAGGTTGTTAGGAGCGTTAGTATAAGTGATTGGTTGGGAACTCAATTCCATCCACTTCCATTCCTTTTTTTTTTTAACACAAATAAATTAGAAGGTTGTTAGGAGCGTTAGTACAAGTAATTGGGTGACTCAATTCCATCCACTTCCAAAATGGAAGAAATTCAGTACTGCCGAGTAGCTGTTGTATTGCTTTGTCTAGTTATATTTTCTAGACTCGGTTATTCAGCTTCAAAATCTTCGGGATTCAGCATTAGGCTTATCCCAAGGGACTCTCCGGAGTCCCCTTTATATCAACCTAACCTTACTCAACATGAAAGAATTGAAAGAATGGTTAATATCAGCCACGCGAAAGATGAACTAATGACACTGCATTCTACTCCAAATGTGACGTTCGATGATAAGTATTTTGCCCTTCTAGACCGTCAACTTACCTTCTATGTTGCGAAGATTATGGTCGGAAACCCCGCTCAAACTTTGTTCTTAAGCGTAGACACAGGCGGTGGCTTGATTTGGACGCAATGTCAACCTTGCATACATTGTTTCCCCCAAATTAATCCCATTTACGATCCCCGAGCTTCATTTTCTTACCAGAAAGTTTTCTGCGAAAGCCCTCATTGTAGCTACGAGGACGACAACAGCCAATTCGACTGTGTTAACGATGATTGTGTCTACAGCATTACCTATTTTGGTGGTGGTATTGGCCCAACAGAAGGTTTTGTATCTTTGGAATCATTTCATCTTTTCAGTAGCACAAGGGGTGATACAGAAGAATTTACTGTTCTCTTCGGCTGCTCGAATAATAACCAAAATTTCCAGTATGAACAAATGCAGAATAACATGGTTTCCGGGAACTTGGGATTAAACTTAGATCCGAATTCACTAGTGAGCCAATTGTCAGTTTTCATCGATGAAATCTTCTCGTATTGTATTGTTCCTTATGATCAAAATTTTCCATTTGATGTGCATCCTCATGTACTCAGGTTTGGGGATGACGTTCATCTTCCTCAGGGAGACATTCCAACAGTACACTATGTAGTTGTTGAAGATAGTTATTCTTATTTCCTTGATGTTTCCGATATCAGCATTGGAAATCTTCGGTTACAATTACCACCCGGTACCTTTGACGTTGGAGGGAAACCTGGTTTCATCATAGACTCGGGAGCTCCATATACTAGACTTGTGGCAAATTCCGGAAGCGGGGTCAATGTTTTTGGATTGGTGATGACAACATTGAGAGATCACTATAATTCTTATGAGCTTGTGAGAGTACGGCAGTCTCAACACGGTACTACATTCCAGCTTTGTTATTTCAACCAACCGAATTTCAGAGATTTTCCATCACTGACCTTTCATTTCAATGGAGCAGACTACATAGTAGATGGCAGGTTTGTGAATGTTTATTACGATGGAGGATATTTCTGTGTAGGAATATTGAACGCTCGATCGAAATCTGTTCTAGGAGCATATCATATGCAAAATATGCGAATCATTCATAATGCCAGAATCAACGCGATTCAGTTTTTCCCAGAAGAATGTGCTAACGATCATTTTTAGACGAGAAATGATAGGCTTACAAAGAAGAATACAAAGAAAAACATACAAAGACAAATCATATCCTTAATCTTTATGATTGTCTTTCTTTCTCTCTCTTTTTCCCTTTATTCAAGGGTAGGATTATCTTTGTATGGTTGTCTTTGTATTCCTCTTTGTAAGAGTAGCATTTCTCTTTTTAGAATGTCTATATATATATAGTCTCTGTTAATATTTGCAATGCCATATTTCATGTATGGTTGGAATTTTATAAATCATGGTGATTGACTAATTGGTATGTATTAATGGCGCCCAAAGTTATTCCTGTTAACGTGCCTCGCTCCAAAATTGAGGAAAAAAAAAATAAATAAGAAGAAGAAGAAGAAGAAGAATTATTCAAAGAAGAGGGCACAATAAGCTACGAGCATATTTAGTCTTCGGTTCAAGGATAATCAAAAAGTCCGAAGAATATATATACTACATAGTCAGCATTAATAAGCATGACAAGGCAATGGACCAATAATTTCTTATGAGTAATGTTACATGTACAAACAAATCTTACAAAGATTTGCATATAAACTGATATGATAAAAAATGAATAAAAGAGTAAATATGTTGAGTTTGACATTTTGAATTTACTCTTTCGTTTATTTTGTATGCATATTAGTTTATACACAAATCTTTATAAAATTTATTTTTACATCTAACATTATTGATTTCCTATTTTAATCTTAAAGAAAATAACATTTCTTGTCTTTTATAATATATTTTCAAGTTTATAAGAGACTACCAAGCACCAAAAAAATGCTGATTCATTTGGAAAAAAAAAGGCATCAGTTATTAGAATTAAATGTTTTTTTATTCACAAAGACATTAATTTTATTAATTTGACAAATAAAATCCTTGTTAAATACGTATGAACCATAAATTCAATTCCGAGAGGGATGAAAAAAATTCTTTAACAACATATAATTTTTTTTTAATAAATCTTGTTGATAGGAGAAACATGTATAAACAAAATAGTACATATTTGTTATAATGGGTATTATCATTCAAAAGGAAAGATAATACCCACGTCATAAAATCTATATATCTATATAATTATGAAGCACACCCTTGTCATTGCTCGCCATGTAGGATTGATGAAAATCTCTATATGATTACCATGTAGGATTCCATGTAGAATGTGTGGTTTAATTAGAGATATTAATAACAAACATTAGTATTCCAAATGTTCGTATCAACCCAGACGTTTCTTCGTTACATGATTTTGTATCTCATCTCTCTGATTAAACTCACCCAATCAATTTAACTGCTCAAATATAATGTCTCATCTCTCTCCACTAATGGAAACTCAAGCTCTTACGATCGCACCTCTGTCCCTTCAGTCGCTTTTCATCTGACACGTCACTGCTCTATCACCTCCTTCATTCGACACCACAACCACCACCAGATCCATCACAGTCATCCTACATTCGGCACTTACTGGTGAGCTCTCAATTCTTCCACTCCAGTTCAGTAGATGACGTTTCAAGATGTTAAATCCGAGTATGCTGTTTATGAAAGCATCCTCTTTGGAAAGGTTAAAGGTCTGTATTAGTGATTTTGTTTTAGTTTCATCGTTTATTTATTTATTTTTTTAATAAAAATTGATTCATCCCCCACTTTCGTCACTACTAATTTCTCTCTCTAGATTTATCTTTTTCTCTGGCCAGTGTATTTATCTTTCTCTTCAATCTCTGCCATCAGATTATTCACTGGAATAATAATCACCGTTAGAGCAACTGATCGGCATTCTGGTGATCTGGCGTAGGTGACTTTCTGTTTTGGTGAATCAACATTCATGATTCTGCAAATACCGATATGGTTCTTCTCTGACGTGTCTCTCAAATCCACTACAATTTGATTCTTGCTAAATAATTGAATTAAAAAATTGATTCAATTTCTCAATACTAATTCTTGCTTCTATTAAGGTAACTCTCACAGTGATATATCTAAGTCTTATTATTCTCAATTTCTCTTTGCTTTTTTTCTTGGTTTTTATTCCTATTGAAAGCTAGGGTTTCTTTGATTGAATTGAACTTCATAGAAAGAAAGACCGTTTGTGTTGTGGGTGGCACTGGATATCTGGCATCTTTGCTCATCAAGCTATTGCTTCATAAGGGGTATTTTGTCAATACTATTGTCAGAGACCCAAGTTCTTCTTTTTCTTTTCTATTGATAATGCATATTTTGTGGAAGTTTTATGATGGATTTATGAAATTGTAATATTTTCATACAGGATGTTATGGAAGAGAAGTGTGGCTCTGCAGCCATCTGTTTTGTTTCTTTCCTTCCTGATATTTTAGACTCCAAGGCTGATAGGAGAAATAATTACCTTGGGATGATGTTAGCAGTTGCAAACAATGGTGGATCCAGGATTTTTCCCTGGGGAGGCCTCCGCGGCTCTACCATTATTTGTCAAACAACTAGTAAAAACTTTAAAAAATCACCAAACCTTAAGCAAAGAAAATAATACTATTGGGGATTGGTTAAACCACTTTGGTTTTGGATTACCCATTTTAAAGTGTAGCAGAATATTTACCAAGTAGATTACGACATTCTCAATTTTTAACTACATCAAACACAAATGTAGAAAGTAAAGAACACAACCATATACATGGTTCGGCTAAATCCACTTTTAGCCTACATCCATGGGACCTCGTCCAGATCGAAGCAAATCCACTAATCAACAAACATTATAAGATATAGTTCAAAGTTGATCTAAGATACAGTAAAAGAACTCCTTGTTCAACTTTACACTCAGCACCACACTCTGAATCTCTAATGTCTTATTGCACCACGGATCTCTTCGCACCAGCTTCACTCCTAGAAAACGCTTGAGCTCCACCCAAGCTTTAGTCGCTAAAGACATGCCCCAGCATCAGCAAAGGAACCACGTTCCAACTGCCATTCAACAATGAAGATAAACGAGAAAGTTTCTAATGCAAACCCATATAAAAGAACCTAACCAATAACAACTCTCTGAAAAGTTCAAAGCACCAATGAAATAGATATTCAGGTTAAAAAAGAAAAACAAACAACGAAGAAGATGAACTTCCTTTCAGCTCAACAAAGATGAAGGATGATAAGTGTTTAGCACAATAATATATAAGGAAAAAACTCTCTGAAAGTTTCAGAGCACAAGGCAAAAACAAACAGAAAGGTTAGTTCACAAATGAGCAAGAATGAAGAAGATATAGACCAATTTTGTGCTTTCCAATTCTTGTCAAGTTAGCAAACAAGGGCTGACATATGTTGGTCCAAAAATGGAAAAGATTTCATCTATCTTTTGGGACCACAACCAAACGAGGAAAAGGCTAATTTTTCCTAGACCACTGAAGGATATTGGGACACTTGTAAGTGGTCCAAATGACAACATAAAAGATGCAAAGAAAATATCTTAGCTGTTAAGGATAAAAACACAACTTATGAAAAATGAGTCAAACATGCGATGTTAGCACAACAGAAAGGTGTGCACACACACGAAGTAAAATGCAAAAAAAAATGTAATATGCATATGTCTGACATAAGTGTGCAAGCACACATCCACTGTGAACACACATGAAATGAGAATGCAAAAGGCATAAGTCTGACATAGTTGAACACGTGGAGGACAAAAACAATTCCAACTTTTTGTTGGACCACAAGCATATCTTTTCTCTTTCTTGGGGGACCACAGAAAAAGTCTTACAATCTTTTAGGACCACATAAGGAAATTGTGACACATGGAGAGTTAGCAAACACAAGAATATCATGAATCAAAATAAACTTGATGGGCAAGACAACAAAGAGAAAATACCACATGGAAAAATGTGTCACCATAACATAAGTTTGAAGAAATATGAACAAATACAATACGAAGAACTTGAGAGAAAAGGATATAATAACACAATAATTTCTTATTTTGAATAAATCTATGAGAAGCGTACTTTTGAGTAAATGTGTTGAGTAAACCTTGAGCAAAACATTCTTTTAATTTTTTATTTTATTTTTGGCTTCCAAAGATTATAATATAAATTTTCATGACTTTAATCAGACATAGCCTAAGCTAAAGTCAACTAAAACTTAAATCAAGTCAATGTTGTGTTGACTTTTAATATAAATTGATAAAAAAATGGGGGAATTTCCTTGGTATAAACATAGATAGTTACTAAAATTTCTTTAATAATTTTATGTTGTTGAATAGTGACGTTGAAAATATAGGAAAATGGTAGGTAAAGGGTAAAGAATAACATCGTTTAAAATATAGTTAAAGTTTTAATTTAAGAAAGCAGGTTTATTCTTAAATACGAAACCCATAATAAACTCACAAGATTCATGTCTTTTTTCCTCAAATTAGAATAAAAAACCTCCAAATAAAAAAAAAAAAAAGCATGATTCAACCCTAAAATAAGCTAAATTGAAATGAGCAATACACATATGTAAAACTGTTAAAACAGAAAACGTAACTAATTGTGACACCTTGAGTAATGAAAGCTTCAACAATTTTAGTCTTCAAAAGTTTTAAGAGCAAATAGCATAAGAAAGGGAATGAGAGAATGAAAGAGTAAAATATTTTGGGGATAAAATCATAAAAAGCATGTGGAGCCATTGAGAAAAAAAGTGGAGAGAGTTTTTAAACTTTTAATGTGATGTAGACTTGAAATATATATATTAATAGCAAGTTTTTTGTAAACCTAGATATATGTATAATAATTCTCATTTTTTAAAAATCTGAAGGTGGGTCTGAATATATATATTAATAGCATTTTTTTGTGAGCTTATATATTAATAATTTTAAAAAATATATATATATTCTGAGGGTAGGCCTAGGCCTACCTCAAAGGGGCTAGATCTGCCCCTAGTTGCAAAGAACTTCAAGAGGAGTCGTTATAGGCAATCATATTAGATTTATATTTTTCGTATTTCAGATCACCGTTTATTTATTCCTCAAATGCTTTGAAAACTAAAATATTTGGAGAAACACAACTTTCTTGCTGAAT